ACATCATGTCTCTGGGGAAGAGAAACAGTGCCCTTTTGAAGCAGCCACTGAGTAGCATTGATATGTGTTTATCTGGGCATATCCCATGCTACCTAATGCTCAAGTGAAAATTTCCATCTGCAGCACAGGAAGCCTGTGCCTGCATTCAGGGGCTTCAGAAAGAGCTCTGCCTTCCAGAAGCACCAAACTGCAGATGTGCTGGGAGAGGACATAGATGGGCTGATGGTTGGACTAGATGATCTTAGTGGTCTTTTCCAACCTTAACGATTCTGCGACAGATCCCATCTAAATCCTCAGGAAATCTCTGTTCCTGAAAGCTCTGGATAGTATTCTCTGAGGTAGTAAGTTACAATGGTCCCACACTGCTCCAAAGATAAAAATTGTGATGGTCCTCATTCATGTGGATCTATACATGGATTTATGGACATGTAGAACAGTTAATGATGTGCTAGCGAGGGACTAAATCTTCTACTAGGCTGCTTACTTGTATTATTATGCAGATTATGCAGTCCGTTGCTGTTATGAGATCAAAAATGTTATTAGATAGGTCTGCGTGGTGATGTGATGAGCAGTCACTGAGAGAACTTGGATCTATTTCTCCCAAAGTTTCTGAGCAGACAACAAAACGTAAGCAAGTACAGAATGCCTGGTGGCTATGGCTGTGACAAAGCGCTTATCTCATCTGTGCACAATTAAGGGCAAACAGCCATTCTCTCACCAAGTGAACGTCTTCAAAAGCTGCAAAATCAGTAGTCAGGTATGCTGTGGATGCTCTATCCCTGGAGGTGCTCAAGGCCAGCTTGGATGGAGCCCTTGGGCAGCCTGATTTGCTGGGTGGCAATCAGCCCACGGCAGGGGGCTAGAGTGGGTTGGCTCTGAGGTCCCTTCCAACTCAAACCATTCTGTGGTTTGCTGATCAAAATTGCAGAGAGAGATAACAGCTTTAAGACAGCTATGAACACTTTGCCTTCTAAAAGACTGCATGGAAGGATTTTCTGTGCTTTAATGACACATCTCATTGCAGTTTCAAAGATACACTGAGGGAAAGGGTATGGCACAGCTGCCCAGGGACGTGATGGAGTCACTGACCCAGGAGGTGTTCAAGAAATGTGGAGATGTGGAACAGAGGGACATGGTTAGTGAGCATGGTGGGGATGGGTTGGGGTGAGAGTTGGTGATCTTAGAGGTCTTGTCCAACTTTAATGATTCTATGATTCTCTGTGAAACTTGCAGCATGTCATGAATGAGGCAGGTGCAGCCCCCAGATCCAGGCAAGGCACAGCTGGAGCAGATCCCCATCATCAGAGCTGACGCTGCAGATAGCAGACATAGGATTTCTTCCTACAGTGTCCCTTGGTTCCCAAAACTCTTGGCACTCTTCGCACTGCAGACATGACACATCCCTACCCCTTACAGAACAGGGCGTGAAGCGTTTCTGGGAACCAGGCTCTGACTCCTTGCAAAAGGAGGACGGATGTGCCCCAAAGCCCTCCTACACGATACCAACAGCTGTGCATTCAGCAGACCTGCTGGTTAATGATCTTGCCCATAAGTAATGTTTTAACCATAGAGTAGCTTTTGTTTGCTTCAGAAGCCACAAAGCCAAAGAGGAAGTGGATGAGAACGTGGGCAGGATGGTGGCCAACAGCCTCATGACCTCAGCTTGTTCCGCTGTGCAGGGATTGGTGGCTGCTCTCTGGGACAGGGTTTAAATTCTCCACGGGTGCCAATGCCAGGCAGTCAGGGACAAGGGGAGAAAGCCAGAGCCTCACTCAGCCCATAGTAGGAGCTGCTGCTGGGATTGCCGGAGCCCCTTCAAACAGCTGACTTCTCCAGCACAGGAAAGGTAATTTTTTTTTTTGCTTTTTCACATGCTGTGTGCCTTTATGAACATAGCTTTTGCCCAGGAGGCAATGGGCTGCAAAGCTGCATTACTGGGGAGGAATATTTGATGCTTTTCTATGGGAGTAGTTCTGCTTTTAGGAGGAAGGTGTCTTCTTAAGTGATGCCAGGTGTGGCAGTTAAAATAGCAGCTTTACATCTGTGTGCTAATGGATGTCAGGAGGTCACTGAAAGCCCTGAAGGCTTCTCTCTGCAATGTGAGCAGATCTTTGACTCTTGCTTGGAAACATAGGTTATTGTGGTCAAATGTCTGCAGGGTGAATTGAAGGTCTGGCCATAAATGCAGCGTGTAAACTTAATTTACAGCCATTATAGTTAATAATTCTGAAAACTAGTTTTAAAGTAACTGCAAAACAAACTTGAGTTGGAATTCTTGCTGCTGTTCAGTTTCTAATTATCATAAAGCCAGCTAGCTGTGAGGATGGAGGAGTGACATTGCCATGGACAGGCTGAATCCTTGTCACAAAGCTGCTCTTGGCACAGCAAAAACAGGAGAAAGAAAAGCCCTGGGGTGTTTTTTGGGGTAATTGACTTGCTGACCCCCTGTTCCAACCTGTTTTCCAGGTAAAACATCACAATGAAGCTGGCACTTCTTTGCTTGTGTTTTATCAGCATCGCTGCTGCATGGCCAGTGAGTAAATCCTAAATGTGTGTTAGCAGTCACATGCATGTTTTCTGGGCACGTTAGCAATAAATCAATGCTCACAAATGCTTTTTCTCTTTCCTCTCTTCAAGGTGAGCAAATCCAAGCAGCATGCCATTTCTGCCAGCTCTGAAGAAAAATATGTAAGCACCTTTTTGTTAACATTCTGCCTGTTGTCTTTAATAAAGCAGTTCTTAAGTCTAATGTTCATTTGGGATATGCTGCCTTATTCCTAGTCCTCTCACTGTGACAGTGAATATATAAGGATGCATCCTGTGCTGCTCTGCCACACCTGTGCCACCTAAGGAGGCATGATGCCATCAGCTCTGCTGTGCTTCTCTGGGCATTAAAACCTCCCTTCTTCTCCTGCAGGACCCCAGGAGCCATCACACACACAGGTACTATCAGGATCACGTGGATTCTCAGTCTCAGGAGCACCTGCAGCAGACACAGAATGACCTGGCTTCACTTCAACAGGTACAACCAGCTTCTAGGGAGAAAACGTGACATCTCCCAGTGCCAAGATTTAGAATTGAGGGCTTGAAGAACAGCAAGCTTGTTTCTTGGCTCTACTGTGTGTGCTAACAGTGAGCTTTCTGTTACTTTCAGACTCACTACTCTTCAGAAGAAAATGCTGATGTCCCAGAACAGCCGGTAAGTCTTCTGGATGGCAGCCAGTGCATAGAAGTACTCACTTTCCTCACCCAAATGCAGCTCTTGTAGTAACACCTCTTCGTAAATAATGCAAGGTTTTGGGCAGGATGAGGCTGACTGAGCCTCATGAACTTAAGTTTACAGCAGCACCTAGGCACTGGTTTACCAGAGGGACACCTCTCAGCACACCTCATAGAATCACAGAACCTTTTGAGTTGGAAGGGATCTCTAAAGGCCATCTGGTCCAAACCCTCTGCAATGAACAGGGAGATGCCTTGGATACATAAATTTGTCTAATGCATGCTAAATGCTTTCCAGGACTTTCCTGACTTTCCAAGCAAGAGCCAAGAGGCCGTGGATGACACTGATGATGATGACAATGATTCCAATGACACTGATGAGTCTGATGAAGTCGTCACGGACTTCCCCACAGAGGCACCCGTGACACCTTTCAACCGTGGGGACAACGCAGGCCGGGGTGACAGTGTGGCATATGGCTTCAGGGCCAAAGCCCATGTGGTGAAGGCAAGCAAGCTCCGCAAAACTGCCAGGAAGGTGAGCAGGGCTGTGCAGCAGCACCTGGGTTATTGGGAAGGGTGGTGAGGATGGAACAGTTTATCATAGCACCATTAAGAATGAGATAGGACCTCTAAGATGGCTGAGCCATTCCCTCTTGTTCTATCGCTGTTATGTGGGGGTTGGCCTCTTCTCCCAGCTCACTACAACCTCCTTTCAGGCAGCTGTAGAGAACTGTAAGGTCTCCCCTGAGCCTCCTCTTCTTCAGACTGAACCACCCCAGTTCCCTCAGCTGCTCCCCTGTTCTTCTCTGAACATGCTCCAGGGTCTTGATATCTTGTAGTGAGAGGCCCAAAACTGAACACGGTACTTAAGATGTGGCCTCACTGGAAGTCTAGAGGGACGATCTCCTCTCTGCTCCTGCTGGTTGCACGATTTCTGACACAAGCCAGGGTGCTGTTGGCCTTCTTGGACACCTGGGCACACTGCTGGCTCATGTTCAGCTGCTGATGCTCTCCATTTCTCCTTTGTGCAATGCAGCTCATTGAGGATGATGCCACCGCAGAGGTTGGGGGCAGCCAGCTAGCGGGCCTCTGGTGGCCTAAGGAGAGCCGTGAACAGGACAGCCGTGAGCTGGCTCAACATCAGAGCGCAGAGAACGACAGCCGGCCAAGATTTGACAGCCCTGAGGTGGACGGAGGTGACAGCAAGGCCAGTGCTGGGGTGGACAGCAGGGAGAGTCAGGGCAGCGTGCCTGCCGTCGACGCCAGCAACCAGACGCTAGAGAGCGCTGAGGATGCCGAAGATCGTCACAGCATTGAAAACAATGAGGTCACCCGTTAAGGGGAATCTGTGCATTGCTTCTTTTTTTTTTTTTTTTTTTTGTAATTTCTGTGCAAGCGCAGGGCTGGGGGGAGGGAGTAGAACCATGGCGGTGTGTGTTTGTAAATGTAGAGCGTGTGGCCGTGCTTAGGTCGAGGCACCGCGGTGCCATTGAGCCGTACCCAGACGGGGCGAGCGCTGCCCGCGGAGATGCTGCGCGTCCCGCTGCTCCTGTGTATATTTTGTAACCGGATTGAAATAAAAACCACAAAAACCTCTGGGCTTTGTGGGAACTGTGTGAGCTTTTACCCCCTTCTTCCCTGCATCGGGTACAACACCCAGCTCCTCCCCGCGCTTCCACCCCAAAAACACTTTTCCCAGTGGGACGGCCCCGAGGAGGGGGAAGGGGCGGGAGGCAGCGGGGCGGCCCGACCCCCTCTCCCACCGTGCCCCGGGCTTTCCGGGCCGGCCCCGAGGGCGGAGAAGGGGCGGCTCAGGCTCAGCGCCGGGCGATGGCGGCCCGCGGGCGGGAGCAGCTGGAGCTGGGGCGGCTCGGGAAAGCGGCGCGGGCCGGTTGCTGCCCGCCGTCCCCTCCGCTGTCCGCCTGGAGCCGGGACAACCCGGGCTTCGAGCCCGAGGAGGAGGAGGGAGCGGTGGCGGCGGGGCCGGCGTTGGAGATGGACGCGGAGTGGGGCGGCCCCGCGGCCGCTCCGTCCTCGGTGGGCAGCGGACGGCGGCAGCGGCGGATCCCGGCGGAGGTGCGGGGCCGCCCCCCCGGGCCGCCCGAGAGCTCCGCACCGCTCCGCAGCGCCTGGGCCAAGCGGCTGGCGCGGCGGCTGCGAGGTGAGATGGGCTTTCCTCGAGTCGCTGCCTATCGTGGCGTGGGCAGAAGCGCCAGAACACACTTGGTTTTATGCAGGGGGTTCGAGTTGGGCTGTCTCCTGTGCTTTCTGCCTTTGCTTGTCTTTCGTGTGCGTTCAGAAGTTATTTGCTGTAACGATTTTTCTCTCCCGGGCCGCAGTCAATCCCTCCCGATCTTTGGGGCTGGTACGGTCAGCTTGCAGAGGTCACGGCTTGGAGAATCTTTGCAGCAGAAAGTGTTGCAATAAATAAGTCACTTTATAACAAGAGAGCAAAGCACCCAGGAGAAAATAAGAGCAATGGTTACATGTATCAAGAGCTCTGGAACTGGAAGAAGCACTAGGAGAGCTGGTGCCCATCTGTCCCTTGAACCTTTGATTTCTGTTTTCAGGCTGAAAGATGAGGACCACCTCTAGCATAGTAGCATCCTGCATACATCCAGCTGATGTGGATGAAAGCCCATTAATCAGATGTGTGCTGTGTTGAATGTGGTGTAAAGCTGCATATTCTGGGTTGGTTCATTCTGAGAAGAGGAGGCTTGAGGGAGACCTTATCACTCTACAACTCTTTGAAAAGAGGTCATGATCAGGTGGGGGGTTTGCCTATTCTCCTATGTAACAGCATTAGGATGAGAGGTGACGGCCTCAAGTTGCACCAGAGGAGGTTTAAGTTGGATATTAGGAACAATTTCTCCTGCAGAAGCTGGCAGCCCATGTCTTAGACAGGTAACTCGTGGCTGGATAAGGAACTGGCTGGAAGGCTGGGCCCAGAGGGTAGTAGTGAATGGAGCTAAATCCAGCTGGCGACCGGTCATGAGTGGTGCTTCCCAGGGGTTGGTACTGGGGCCTGTCCTCTTCAATATCTTTATTGATGACCTGGATGAGGGCATTGAGTGCACCCTCAGTAAGTTTGCAGATGACACCAAGTTGGCTGGAAGTGCTGATCTGCCTGGGGGTAGCAAGGTCCTACAGAGAAATTTGGACAGGCTGGAGAGCTGGGTTGAAGTCAATGGGATGAGGTTCAACAAGGCCAAATGCCGGGTCCTGCACTTTGGCCACAACAACCCCAGGCAATGCTACAGGCTTGGGACAGAGTGGCTGGAAGACTGTGTAGAGGAAATGGACCTGGAGGTATTGATTGATGCTTGACTGAACATGAGCCAGCAGTGTGCACAGTGGCCAAGAAGGCCAGTGGCATCCTGGCTTGCATCGGAAACAGTGTTGCCAGCAGGAACAGGGAAGTAATTGTCTCACTGTACTCAGCTCTGGTGAGGCCGCACCTTGAGTACTGTGTCCAGTTTCGGGCCCCTTGCTGCAAGAAAGACATTGAGGTCCTGGAGCGTGTTCAAAGAAGGGCAATGAAACTGGTGAGGGGTCTGGAGCACAGGTCTTATGAGGAGTGGCTGAAGGAGCTGGGATTGTTCAGTCTGGAGAAAAGGAGGCTCAGGGGAGACCTTACTGCTCTCTATAACTACCTGAAGGGAGGTTGTAGTGAGCTGGGGGTCAGCCTCTTCTCTTGTAACCAGTGATAGGACTAGAGGGAATGGCTTCAAGCTGCACCAGGGGAGATTTAGGCTGGATGTTAGGAAATACTACTTCTCTGAAAGAGTGGTCAGGCACTGGAATGTGCTCCCAGGGAGGTGGTGAAGTCACCATGTTCAAGGAACATTTGGATTTTGTATTGAGGGTCATGGTTTAGTGAGAACTGTTGGTGATAGGTGGATGGTTGGACCGGATGACCTTGTAGGTCTTTTCCAACCTTGGTGTTTCTGTGATTCTTCTCAGAAAGAGCAGAGAGGCACTGGCACAGGCTGCCAAGGGAGGTGGCAGAGTCATTGTTCCTGGGGGTGTTCAAGTAAAAAGCAGATGTGACGCTGAGGGATGTGGTCTAGAGTAGTCACAGGCATGGGCTTGATTGGACTAGATGATCTTAGTGATCTTTGATCTTTACAACCTTAATTATTTTATGATTCTATGGTTTTTCTTGCAATGCAAAAAAGCAAAGGATTAGTCCTTCGGATATCACAGGTAGTGGTGGTGGTAACATGGATAGACTGACTGCTGCTCAGCAGCTGAGAGATATTCAATGATATCTTCAGGTTTTTTTTTGCTGTTAGTTGTGAAGTACATCTGCTTGTAATAGGATTTTGGTAACTTCAGTGATCAGGGAGACTGTAGCAGGAACTAGCAAGTGACTAGAAGCTTGTCTGCATATGATTATCTGTCTTTCATTTTCCTGTCTTTGGAGATTCTCTTTGAATTCTGGTGTAAGTGTCCATGAAGTGGCCTTAATCCCTCTTTTGCAGATCCTCCCCAGCAGCCATCCCAGCTGCCCAGGGAGAGGAGGTTGTGGCTGTTCACCTTTGTTAAGGGGAAGTCATTCAGTCTTCATTAGTGCTGATGAACGAGATTAACATCTGTTTCCAGAGCCAGATTGGAAAGGCAATCTTCCCATCAGAGCTGTACTCCATCTTCCAGTGTTACTATGTCATCACATGCGTCAGTACAAAGTTGTGCACACGGAGGCTGTCTTGAAAGATTTTCCTGGCTATTGTTATGTGGAAATATCAAATGCCATTTTCAGTCATTAATTCACTGTGATAAAAATCATCCAATTTGTACTGAGTTGAATTAGTGCTGGCTCTGACAGTACCATAGGAATGAGTGTGAACTTCTTTTTGAATGTTACGTGGTTTTGTTGCCCTTGTTCTGTTGGAGGGAATCAGCCTTTGCCCAGGGCTATGGTCCTCACTCTCTGCTAGCATCTGAACTTCTTTGTAGACAGATCAGCTAGCAGTGCCCACCTGGGCTTGTTTTTGGCACTGTGTGGTAAGGGACAGCTGTAATTGTCTCTGCACAACTATTGAGTACTTTCAGAACTTTTTCATAAAAACAAATGAATGCATTCTGTACCTTATAAACTGGATTTACCTATATAAAGGTGTATGTGTGTATATATGTCTGTACATTCCTTTCCCATTCTTTTCTTTATTCCTCCCCTCTCTGTTCCTTCTCCTTCACATCTCCTTCCCACCATTTTCTTTTCTTCATTATTTTGTATTCATCATTCCATTTCTTTCCCAGCTCTTCCATACCTTCTTCTGTTCTTCCCATTTTTTCCTTTCTCTTTTCCTTATCCTTCCCTTCTCATTCTTTTCTTCAGTCCTTCTCCATTGCTTCTTTCTCATCTCTCTCTTTTCTTCATTTGTTTGCCATTCCCACTCCTCCATCCCTTCTGCTTCTCTCCTACATTCTTTCTTTGTTCCTTTTCTATCCTTTTTTCATTCTCTCTTCTCCTTCCCATCTCCACTCCTTCATCTTCCCTTTTTTGTTCCTTCACCTTTGCCTCTCCATTCATTCTCATTCTCTTCTTCATCCCTTCTACTTTGCTTCTCCTTCTCACATTTTCTTTTCTTCATTTCTATTCATAATTCCACCTCCTTCATCTCTTCTCCCTAACCTATTCTCTCTTACACTGCATGCTTATATTACATATATATAAGTAGAATATACAAGTTGTATGTGTGTGCATATACATGAATGTAAAGTCAAAAAGTTGAGGAATAGCAAGTTTACATAAGAAATGAAGTGGAAATCCTTAATCAAGGCTAGAAATGATGTTTTTGGTGCTGGCAGAAGATGTCAACTTGAATTCAGCATTGTTTACAACAACTATGCATTTAGTTGCACCTAGAACGTAATTCAAATAAGGCAAAAAGGAGAATACTGTACCTGTCCTCTAAAAATATGTCTACTGGTGAATGCTTACAGGTGGCTGGCAGGCAAATCTAGGGGTGATTTAATGGAAAGATCATTGTGTGATCTCTCGTGTTGAATTTTTGTTGTTGGCTTTTTTTTTCTGTATGCAACTTTCTGTTCACTGCTGACTTGCAGCTATTTTCTACCAAGACAGAAATGGAGCTTGCAAGCTTTCTGTTCACTGCATTTCTTGTTGGTGAGTAATGTGCTGACAGCCGGGACTCAGCACGCTCGCCAGCTTGCTCACTGGCTGTTTCAGCCTGTTCTTCCTCTCTTCTGTAATGTTTTCCTGCTTTTATTATGAGGGTTGCTAGTGCAACGTACTGCTATACTGAAGGCTTGATTTGTGGAGTTCTGTATTAATAGTGACTCTGAATGTTCTTGGTTTTGTGTTTCTGCCTACCAGAATGACCTCATAGTGAGGATTTGGTACTTTGTTTAGTGGAACTGTAATCCTTATTTGTGCGTTTTCAGACTTAGCCTTAAAGAACAGCTTTGAAAATGTTCTACTAGGGCTGATGTTAGCAAATGGTGTGATTAACCAGTCCAGGGATGTGACCAGAGGTCAGCATAAAGGTTGCTGGTGCACAACCTACATTGTCTGCTCCTTCTTGCTGTTCCTTTGGCTTCAAGTTACTGTGGTGTGTTTGATGGATCAAAATTTTTTTCCTAGGAATGTTGGGTTGGCATTGTTGCCACCATTTGAGAATGTGAAGGATGCTTTAAAAGATTGGCAATTTAAAATATCTGAAAGGGGAAAGGGTAGGAGTTTGGCAATAGAAAACTTGTATTTTCAGATGCCTTTTTCTCCCATCATAAGCTTAGGTAAATCACCTTTAGGCTTCAATAAAGAGACGCTCCCAACAGCAGCAGTTCTCAGCTGAATGTCAGCAGCCATTCCCAGTTTTGTTCTGGTTTGTATTAGGCACTGGAAATAAAGATGGAAGCCACCAACTGCTTTCCATTCTCACACAACTATTTCCAATAGCAGCTCCATTCAAAAGATACTTTTGCTTTCCTGTTACCCTTTTGGTAGGATTGACCACTACCTTACAAGTTCTCTTAGGCTGTATTTTCGGGAATGCCAAGTTGTAGCAATTGGACAGATCAATATGATGGGAAAAGCCATCAGAGGTTGCATCATTACACCAGAGGTATAATGATGGAAGGATCAGCAAGATAGAAAGGCCCTCTGAAGAAAGGGAGGAAGGTTGCTTATCTGTATCAGAAGATTCTAGATTTGCAGGGGAAAGCTCCACCAAGGAGGGATCTCTAGAAAGATATCCTTCCTGTGGCAGTCAGCCCTTCAATGAGGTCTAAGAAAGGTGCAGCCAGTCTCACCCCTTCTTGTCTCACAGCTGAATTGCCTTCACCTATGCTCCCAGGGCTGACTGAGTCCTTTCCCCAGCTGCTCAATCAATGGCTTGGGCTGTGACAAGTATAACACTGTGAAGCTCAAGGTGCTTGACTGACGTACGCTTCTTTTGGTTAATTAATTAAAATTACTAAAAATGTTTTGATATGGAATGTGATTTTTTTGCTTCTCTGATAATATTTTCAGACATGTCATCAGTGAAGCTTTCAAATCCATCTGGCTCTTTGGTCACTGTATGCCATTGGGTATGTCATTGGCTGCATCTCTGGGTATCCACTATCAGGCAACTGTGTATGTAACTACGCATGTTTTTCTTGCTAGGTCTGTGGGGCACAAGGCTGATGGAAGAAAACAACACCAGCAGAGAGAGATACCTGAGAAGTGTTTTGCGGGAGCTGATTACATATGTGATCTTCCTCGTGGTGCTGTGTGTCTGTAAGTACCACTCAGCCTTAATGTGTGCAGTTCTGCACCACTTGTTTGCAAATTCACAGTGTTTCAGAGAAGAGGCAGAGTAACTAATAGGCCATTGTAGGGGGAAATATTTTGAGTTATTTCTTTCTCTTGATTTTGTAGTTGGATTGTTGCTTGACACTCTGCACCTTAGCAGTTTTTGAATTTTTAATAGTCATAACTATTAATATGTTCATATATTTGCATAACAATCAGGAAGACAGTGCCAAGTACAACAGATTGTGATGTTTTATTTGGTCACTAGGGAGTCTAGCAACAAAATCTGCATGCATTAAGTTTGTTTATCTCTGAAAAGCTGATGGTTTTCAAGCCCTCAGTCTCTAACATAGACAGTTCTGTTCTAAATTCCTACAGTGTCTATGACTGTTGAGTTGTCTTTGTGATCATCTGTAATGGGACAAGGTGCCATTTTTATTTTTAAAGAAAACCTTTCATTGAAAAAAAACCCAAACCACAAACAGTGTTAGTAGTCTGAGAGCAAGTGCTTTGCTTGTCCAGAGCAGAATGCCTATAACAAAAGCAAATCAAAAAAACCCAAATCACAAATGTTATTCAGTTGACACAGCTCAACTCTTTTGGTGACATACTGCACAAATGATAATATACTGACTGTCATGTTCATTTCCTGCCTAAGACTTTTGTTGCAGGTTTATGGATAAGGGAATGTAGCAATGCCTGAGGCTCTACCACTGGGAGAAGTGTAGCAGTGAGGGACTTGGGCACGTTTCTATGAAAACAAATTTGTCTTCAGTGGGATAAGTTTGCTTGCAGGCTGCTCACAATTTGTTTTGCAATAGAAAATATTTCTGGGGACAGATGCAGTATGTCAGCTGGGCACAGATGCTGCTAACTCTTTAGCTGTGCTTTAAGAGTGATCATTTTTAGTTTTACACTTAAGCAATAACTGTGGGGCAGACAGGTCTGTGCTGTACCTTAGGAGGATGCTTTCCACTGCTGGCAAAATGCTGTTAGCATTCCTTGTACTGCTGTATTTTTGAGAGAGCATATGTAGAGAGAGTCCCAGTATTGTGCAATCAAGTCACACATGCGATATTTGCCACAGAGGAGTTTAAAAATAGTTCTCTGGTTGCACAGGAAAACACATTTTCTTCCCTGTAATGCAATGCTTCTCTAAGTTTGTCAGTACTGTTGAAAATTGTTCGCTGCGGACCTGATCTTCCAAGCTTCTCTGAATTTTAACCCTGAGTTGTTGTTAAGTATTTATAGGCAGTAGAGGCATCAGTGCCAGAGACTGTTCTCCCAAGCCAGCTTGGCTCTGTACATCATTTTATAATTTATGCTCTGTGGTCCTTAGCCACATGCTTGGCCCAGAATGAGGAACAGAAGCAGCATGCAGTCCTTACTTTCTGTGCAGTGATTCTCTTACAGCATTGCACATCCGGGGTGGAGTTTTGTTGTCTAACCGCTGACAGCTTGTGTCACTGGCAGCATCCCATGCTGTGCATCCCTGTCTGCCTGTACAGGACATGGACATTCCAGTGTCTGGGGTGAGCCCAGCTCTCAGGATGCCTGAAGTGGCACTGGCTGCTTTTCAGGCTGCTGAGTCCAGTCTTTGTGGTTCTTGAGGTTGTTTTTTTGTAGAAGCATTAATACTGTAATCACTGACAATTGACTTATTGGTATGGATTTTGTTTTGGTCTTAGTCTTTTAGTGCAGAATCTATACAAGTACAACCTGATGTATTCAAAACTGCTCCGTCTTTTTCTTCTCACCCCTTGCCAAACCACGTGCAGTGACATACGGGACAGTGAGTTCCAGCATGTATTATTACACGAGGGTTATGTCCCAGCTCTTCCTGGAAACACCCGTATCTAAAATGGAGAAAACGGACTTCAAAACATTGTCCACGATGGACGACTTCTGGAAGGTAATGCTAAAAACAAGTTATTATCTTGCTGTTGATTTGGTGTATGAAAACAGTGCTAGCAACATGCAAGCTAAAATTTTGTCTTACTTTACAGTTCACAGAAGGCCCTCTGCTGGATGGTCTCTACTGGGATATGTGGTACAACAATAAAACCATAGCAGAAAACAAAAGCTTCATTTATTATGAGAACCTGCTCCTAGGGGTGCCCCGCATTCGACAGCTGAAAGTGAGGAATGGTTCGTGCTCAATTCCTGAGGATTTAAAAGATGAAATCAAAGATTGCTATGATGCCTATTCTGTGGCCAATGAAGACACCGCACCTTTTGGGCTTCGAAACGGAACAGCGTATGTAGTACTTCTGTAGGCAACTAAATATGTTTTTTTCTGGCCCAGACTATATTGAGTGGTACAGAAAGTCACTTCACAGGGGCAACTCTGGAATTGCTGTAGGTTCTGTCTGTAAAGCTGTAAGGCCAGCTAAATCCAGAGTGCTAGATGAGTGTTGGGTGTTGCAGGGTCGTCTTTTTTTTGGTTGAAGCATGGGAGGAGTTCTGCTTCTCTTGAAAGACAATGTGTGGGTTACACTGGAAAGGGTTTGGGAGGTGAAATACAACTACGTTAATGCCAGTTTTTCTTAGTTTTCCCAAGAGAAGAGAAATTCTGTATAAGCAGATCAATGCATTCTGTTTTCACAATTAGTATACTTGTTGTCTTTCTTCCTATCAGCGTTCTGATATGTTAGTGAAACTTTGTTAGTTCTTTCCTCAGGGTACAGACATGAAAACTTCTTGCAAGTAACTCTTAAAACCCTTTGACAGTTGGACTACATGATCTTAGCAGTCTTTTCCAACCTTAATGATTCTATGCCTCCAACTGAAATTGCTCTATGAATCGTAGAATATCTGGAGTTGGGAGGGAGCCACAGGGATCATGGAGTCCAACTCCTGGCTCCACACAAGACCACCCAACCCACATGTGTATTTTGACCAGGTTCTTGTTTGATTTGTTAGTTCTAGTTTGATTTGTAAGTTAAAAGTAGAAGAACTAACATGCGCTGTCTCACTCCTGTCCAAACCAGTTGGACATACACCAATGAGAAGGACCTGAATGGGAGTAGCCACTGGGGCCTGCTGGCCACGTACAGTGGGGCTGGTTATTACCAAGACCTCTCAAGGACCAGGGAAGTGACAGCTGTGCAGATCGCCAGCCTTAAGAAGAACCTGTGGTTGGACAGAGGGACAAGAGCAGCTTTCATTGATTTCTCAGTCTACAATGCAAACATCAACCTATTCTGTGTTGTAAGGTATGAACAGGAGCACTGACAGTGTTCAGACTGCAAAGCACAAAGCAGATAGAGATTCCATGTTATTTCCATGTTTTTGTGGACAACGCTTAAATAATTTTCTTTGTCTTTTTAAATTCTAGGCTGTTAGTGGAATTTCCAGCTACTGGAGGCCTTCTTACATCCTGGCAGTTTCAGCCAGTGAAGCTGATTCACTACATCTCCACTTTGGATTTCTTCCTGGCAGCCTGTGAAATGGTGTTTTGTCTTTTTGTTTTGTACTACATGGTGGAAGAGATCTTAGAAATTCATATTCACAGGCTGCACTACTTCAGAAGTCTCTGGAATTGTCTGGATATCCTTATAATCGTGGTAGGTAACCTTTATAAGTCTAACACTGCTTTCTGAAATGCACTCTGTGGGAGACATTAATGACTGTGTTCACCAGCAATCTCAGTGTAGCTGAAAAGCTGAGCTTTGAATTTAAAGCTATGTGATCCAGACTTACATTGAGTTGTTCTTAGTGAAGGTATCCAAAGCCAGCAAAGCTGAAGTAGACCTTGTCCCACTTCCATTCTGTACTATAAGTCTTGGACAAATCTAAGGTTCGAGTCCTTTTTTTTTTTTTTTTTTTTTTTTTTTACATTTTTTTTCATGTTTCTTTCAGTTCTTCCACGTGACAGTTTCATTTTTCTGAGCCCACCAGTTGTCACCATGATATTGTTCTTCAGATTCAGAAGTGGCAAGGAAGGGACTCCCAAATCCCCTTACTCCCAGGCTACTTGTCTCGCCCTAGGGCTGTCATAGTTTTGTTGTAAAATGCATTTCCTGATCTACCCCAAAATTCTAGTTTGAATCTTGTCTTACAGAAGATATTTTAAAACCATAATCACCTTCCATGATCTCATTTGTTTCTTTTGTACTCAGCTCTCCATGGCAGCAATAGGAATTAGCATCTACAGGACATCAACTGTTGATATGCTCCTGAAGAAGCTACTGGAAGATCAGAATTCATTCCCCAATTTTGAACCCTTGGCATATTGGCAAATACAATTCAACAACATTGCTGCAGTCACTGTGTTTTTTGTCTGGATTAAGGTAACTCCAAGGCACATATCCATATTCTAAAATAAGGATGTACACGTTCGGTGTTCTGAATGTCACCTGCTATTTTTGAGTTAGTCATGTTTTTCTGTATGGGAACTGCTGAATCACAGCCTGAAGCTCTGATTGACCACCTGAGGTGAGCAATGAGTCAGCCCTGGGAGCACAGGTGAAGACAATTCTCCCGTGCTACTGGAAGGGGTGGAGCCTAGCTCTATGTCTCCTAGACCCCATTTAAGAGCTGACTACCAGTGGGGAAGGATCTCTTTTGGAGACTGCTCCTCTTGGAGTCTTCTCAGCAAGCCCGGGTCAGGGGTAAACTTTTCATTCATTCTTCTTTAGCGTGATAACCTGTTTAGCCTAACTTTCTTGTATATTTCTTAATTAGAACATCCGTATATTCATTGATTGTATGTTCTCTTAACAATGGTCATGGCAGAGTGAGTGCAAAGTAACTTCGCGCAAATTGAAAACAGGGTTGTCGTTCTCTCTGCTTTAGTCCTTGTTTAAGTCTAGAAGATGCATTCAGCTCTTTGTCACAGCAGATATGTGAAGAAATGTTTACATTACTGCTGTATTGAGAAATTGCTGCTTCTTATTAGATACTACTTTCTCCTATGTGCTTTTGGGAGCAGCTTGATACTTATGCTCTAAAGCCAGGGTTTCAGATAGGAGTGCCAGTAGAAGTTGGTTTTGTCAGGTTTTTTTCCTTCAAATTACAACCCTTAGTGGTTTTTTGAAAGTGATATATTTCTAATTGAAAATCACCTCACTCTGTCCCCATCCAGCTCATTAACACATCTCATGTAAAGAGCTGGACAACAGTTTGGATTAGAAACTGTCTTCCTTGTCTTCACGGTTGTTGTTGTTGTTTGCTTTCTTTCAACAGCTTTTCAAGTTTGTTAACTTCAACAGAACCATGAGTCAGTTGTCCACAACCATGTCTCGCTGCGTCAAAGATGTCATTGGCTTTGCAATTATGTTTTTCATCATTTTCTTGGCATATGCTCAGTTGGCCTATCTTGTCTTTGGCACTCAGATTGATGACTTCAGCACTTTTCAGGACTGCATGTAAGTAAAAAAATAAAAAATATGAATAATTTCTCTATGCACTGGTGAATGGATTTGGTTGCCGCACCAGAGATCAAACCAATCTGCCTGCAGAGATAAGCTGTAAGCATCTCACTTTTGGTAACTCAGTAGTGATAACTATTTTCTAGAGATGTTAACCTTTTTATAGTTTGTTGGACAAACTGTCTTTGTAGCTGACACTATGTGCTCAGTGGTGTTCTTTTCCTGATATTCTGGTTAGTTGACTGGCTTCCAGACAGAGTCTATCATCTTTAACAGCCAGCTGGTCCAGCTGAAGTAGTTACCAGGTTGTTTTTCTGCACAACTGTGACCAAAAGCCATACGTAGACACACTAGTTGCACTTGGGTATTGCATCTGACTGCACGTTTTGCTAGACTTAGAAGTGGGTTTGAAAAGCTGACTATTGCAATATCTGAGTGAGTATTACAGCAGTGCAGACCACTCTGCTGCTCTTCATTCCTGACTGTTATGGTAAAGTAGATCAGGAACTCCTGCACAGCTCCAAAAGTGTTTTTCTCAACCCCTGGATGTGTTTTGTTTTTTAAGATTTACTCAGTTCCGCATCATTTTGGGAGACTTCAACTTCACAGAGGTTGAAGAAGCTAATCGCATTTTGGGACCAATTTATTTCACTACATTTGTGTTCTTTATGTTCTTCATCCTTTTGGTATGTACACCTTTGTTTTCATGGGGTGGGTAGTTGGCATGTTGATTTTTAGGTACATCATCATTTTTGCATCTCTTGGTCTTGGATTCCTATGGCTACTTAGGGTGAATATATCAGGCTTCACCTTTACTTGGTCTGCCACTGTGCTCTTTTTACTTCCTTTAAAACAGATTTGCACTGTATTTTTGTTGTCACTCTCTTATAGTGCTCCATATTGGTGTTTCACTGTTGGTGTGTTTATTTTTTTTTTTTATTATGAAGAATTTTTCATTTGTAAAACCTCCCTCTTAAAAACCTAGGACACCAAATAAAATAGTTTTGTTATAAACAAGTTGATATAAAATAGTCACTGACTTAAGAGTCCCAGCACCTTTTTCCTGAATGTAGTTTTCAGGTAGTTTGGAAGTTGCATTACAATATGGTAATCTATTTTCTGGTGATACCACTTGAAACTGTTATGTGAGCAGGACATCCTCAGATGTTATTCCCAAAATGGTATGTCTTTTGGTGATTTGATAAGGTAGCAACCATTAACGCAGGATTTTGCATAGGTCACTCTAAAATTAATGCCTCCCATTTATTTACATGGAAACTACAACAGATAAAAAGAGCAGAATTAGCACTGTTTATAGAGCAAAATCTCAGCAACAAAACACTTTTCAACATCTTCACCACCGTTGGCTATGCATTTTCACCAGCAGTGAACAAGAGCCTGCATGCCATGCTTGTGAAAATTGGCACCAGCAGAGGTGACCACAGCTTTACTGTGCTCACATCTGCTGTTTGGTTACCATCACCATTTAACAAACAGAATGTTGGTGGGAAGGTTCAGCCTTTACTGCCACGTCACCAGCATCCACATCTGATGTCATGAGCCAACAGAATAAAATAGGAGGCTTTCAGAACCGTCCTTGTACTAATCTTAGCGTTGTGTAGCAGTCATCATATACTTCATTGTAACTTTCAGATTTATATAATGTCCTTTGTACTTAATGAGGCTTTTTTTTTGCTCTTTGGGATGAGAAGAAGTGGTAGTGAACAATAAGTCATGTAAGTGGTAGAACTTGGACTTATAGAGTTATTTTAAGTGAACTTTTAATTTCTGTCATGAACAGAACATGTTTCTGGCCATTATCAATGATACATACTCTGAAGTCAAATCGGATATGGCACAACAGAAGGCAGAAATGGAATTGTCTGACCTTATCAGAAAGGTAAAAGTAACGTTTTATTGGCTTGACATCTCCATCTTCACTATTCCACGAAGACATATAGAAATTGTACATAGGAAGGCTGCAACAGTTGGGAGAAATATACATCTCTTAGTTAAATAAAGGAGCGTGAACTGAGTGTCAATCACTCAACTGAAAACTTTGCATTACAAAATATTCTAGTAATCTGAGACTTAGTGTCAAAGGATCAGCCTAGTGAATATGACATAGGATGTATCTGCCTAGGTACATACAGAAATACTAAACTGATGAAGCTAAACCACCATTCAGTTTGTGTAAAGAATTTTGGGTTATCTTGTGCCAGGCAATGAGATTAATCGGGTCTCAGATTATGTGTTGGAGACTCCTGGGGTAGGCTGCCAGTTGGGTTGTCCAACACAGACTTAAGAGCTTGACCTGAATTTCAGTTCTGGAAAAGCATGTGTGCTGTCTGGCATGGGTGTGGTGCTGTACCATGATCAGAAACATTTGAATACATACTGGGCATGGACCAGTAATTCAGACTTTTAAACTTTGGAACTGCAATCAAAAGAAGTCTATTAACATCGTGTTAACATTGCAAACCAAGCAAAATGTGAAATTTCTTTTTTTTTTTTTTTCTTTTAGGGCTATAACAAAGCCATGGTCAAACTTAAATTAAAGAAAACCACTGTTGATGACATTTCAGAAAGCTTGAGACAGGGTGGAGGAAAACTAAATTTTGATGAACTCCGGCAAGATCTAAAAGGGTAAGGAAGCTGTTACTTCTTTTACCTTGAATTGTATATCCAAATGTTTGATGCTGAGTCTTTGACAAGTTTCTTCTGCCTCTGTGATACCTTTAATACAAATGAAGACAACTTTTGGTTCAGTTGTATCTTGGCTCACTACAAAAGTTTGTTGTGAATATATTGCTTTTCTAAGATTAAGTTGTTTTTGCACCTGGAAAACGAAAAGGGATCTGTTTTTACTGCCTTCTCAGGAAGGGCCACACTGATGCAGAGATTGAGGCAATATTTACCAAATACGATCAGGATGGGGACCAGGAACTGACAGAACATGAACACCAGCAGATGAGAGATGACTTGGAGAAAGAGAGGGTGAGGTTGGCAATAGGAATAGTATTCCATCAGTGCTGATGGTGCTGCTTGCTGTGCAAGGTGGAGCGTGGAGCTGATGGTCCTTGGCATGGACATCCATGGCCCCATGTGAAAGCCTTTACCTCTTTCCTATCTGTGTCTTGTGTTTTCATAAAGGAGGATCTGGACTTGGACAGAAGCTCTCTGCCACGTCCTCTGAGCAGCCGCAGCTTTTCTCGGAGCTTGGATGACTCTGAGGAAGATGAAGATGAAGACAGTGGGCACAGCTCGAGGAGGAGGGGAAGCAGCTCTAGTGGAGTGTCCTATGAAGAGTTCCAAGTGTAAGTTAATCCTCCTGGGGAAGCAAAACTGCGTGGATGAGGTTTTTCTTTTTCTTGTGTGATTTTTGTTTAAGATATGTTGTAGTCTTTCCTATAACTCCAAATATTCATTGAATAATTCAGAAAAAAAAAAGTTACATTTTTTTTCTAGGTGCTGAAGTCAATCCATTTAATAGCTTTGAAGTCATGTGTGAATTGCATGTAATTCAGAGAGGCTCACAGGAACCAGTTGGAACTGCTCCTTACTCCCCAAAAGAGAAAACTTCAAATCTGGTCATTGAAGAGAGAAAATGGCCATGTCGCTGTCAAGTCAGGAAACTTATTTTCTTAGTAGTGAAATATTGAGGCTTGTAAGTTCAGCAAGAACTTGGACTCTTGCTTTCAATGAGCTGAAATGATTGTTTGTTGCCCTCAGACTCATGAGGAGGGTGGATCGCATGGAGCACTCCATTGGCAGCATTGTCTCCAAGATCGATGCAGTGATTGTGAAGCTGGAAGCGATGGAGAGAGCCAAACTGAAAAGGAGAGATGTGTTGGGAAGGCTGTTGGATGGAGTGACAGAGGTCAGTGTCCCCAGCTCTGGGCTGTGCCATCGCTTCCTGGCCATGGCCTATATGTCTTATTTAATGTTAGTACATTTCTCTTCTGCTTGGCTTGGGATGGTGAAGGGAGTTGTGGTAAGGTTGTGGGGCTTCACTCAGGCTGAGCAGTCTTGAGTTTTGTTTTACTGTTTCAGGCTGCCCTGGGAGGTAGTGAAGTCACTGTTTCTGGAGGTGTTCAAGAACTGTGGAGATTTGGCCATAAGGGAAATGGTTAGTGGACAGGGTGGGGATGAGTAGATGAACAGACTGGGTGACCATAGAGGTCTTTTCCACCCTTTATGTTTCTATAAAGAGATGTGAAACAAGTTTTGGATATGAGGACCCATCTTGTAGAAGACCTGTGTCATGCAGACACCACAGAACACCTTTTAATGCCCTGAACAGGATAGCAGTGCTGTTCAGAAGCTTCTGAGGCAGCTCATTTATCCCTTGGCTGTTGTGATGGGTAGAGAGTTTTCCATGGAGAAGTCTGGCAGAGTGCAGGGTACCTAGTATATTTTACATTTCTGGAGATAGATTTGCATGCTAAATACTGTAATGTGAACCATACTTTCACAAGTGAAAGTGAGAATCTGGGAGTTACGTTACTGGAAGAAAGCCATTTACTACAGAATAGCAGCTGTGATTTGATTCTAGACTACAAAATATAGAATGGTGTAGGGGTTTCCCATAAGAAGGAATTACTATTCCCATAGAATTGGATTTTGATTGGGCTGCAGTTTGGGAACTATGCTTCCATCTTGTTTCTCTATTTGTTCAGGATGAGAGGCTAGGCCGTGACAATGAGATCCACAGGGAACAGATGGAGCGGCTGGTACGGGAGGAATTGGAGAGGTGGGAATCAGATGACACAGCATCTCAGATGAGCCATCGCCTGGGAACACCACTGGGACTGAATGGGCAGCCTCGATCGAGGAGCTCCCGGCCATCCTCCTCGCAGTCAGATGGCATTGATGGGGGAGGAGGAAATGGGGCTAATAACCTCCATGTGTAGCATAGGCTTTGCTGTTCAGTCAGCATCAAGCCAACTCCACTGCTGCTTCCCAGAATGAGGTCATCATCCTGATCTGACCACTAAAGGCAAGCTCAGCGGTAGGTGAAATACTCTGTTCATAAGGCATTTTGAGAACTTTGCGAGCACGTGCCAGGTCCAAGTCACCGACACTGAGACTGTTGGCCTTAGAAATGAAAATGCAGAGGTAGAATGGAAACCAGATGTGACAAAATCTACCTGGACAGAATCCTGTTTCCATACATCTATTCCAGTTTCCATACACAAATGGTTTCATGAGGGCAGCGAGCTTTAGACAAAAGGCGCTATGACTAAAGCATTCCAGTGATAGGCTGTGGGTTTTCTGCTTTCTACTAGAAAAACACAATGTTTAAAAGCTTTGAAAAGCACTTTTTTAAAAAAGAAAATGGCATCAGTTATCGTCCTATTCATTTTAACAGCTGGCACTTCTCAAGAGCCAAAGCTGCATCTGTTTCTAAAGTAAATGTGTATATTGTATTTTGTGGAGTTATTCTTGGCTGAGTGACATTTTATTTAATATAAAATGTCCTTTTTTCCTCCTTTTTTTTTTTTTTTTTAAATACTATGTTTCATTAAGCAGAGGAAGTGCTCTTAGTTTGTAACTTGTTCATCAGGTTACTGTGTAGTACAAACTATATGCATTGTACCTCTTTCTGTTTCATTAGCATTTTAAAAGTAATATTTAAGAACTGCCTCTCCACCCCTAATCAATATGGTCACCGTCAACTCTGTTACACAGTGCCTTTTTTCTTATTTTTCCTGCCATGTTTTGCTGTGTTTCTGTGCCTTGTCAGACAATTTGTTGTTGGAAGGAGAGGTGCACCACTGAAGATAAAATGTTGCTTTCCAATAGAAAGCACTGAGGCACAGTATTCTTTTACCCACCAGCATTTCAGTCTGTGGCATGTTGGCTTAGCAAGTAGGCTGCCAGTGGTGCCTTGTTCCTGAAGGTGGCACTTACTTATAGTACAAAGGAAGATATGTTTTTTTTAATGAAAATGAATTTGTATTCCTAGCTGTATGTATTAAAGTGTATCGCTGTAGCGGATCGTTACTTATAACAAACTTCATCTTGAAGTGCATGTAGTTTCCATGGGATATCCATGTGTGTGACAATAGCCGTGCAGTAGCACATGGCTGCATGAAAAATATTCTGAATGTTGATATTATCTCATTTTTTAACTTTAGATTCTAGCACAATTTTTTCACTTAGCACTAAGGTTTTGTATAGAAAAGCTATGTACAGTGTTTGGGCTCATTAGGAAGCTGTTAATTATGCAAGCCTTCTGCAATGATCAGGAATGTATTGATCCTTAAACTGAGCACTTTACTTCCGAATAAACTTTTGTATCATCTGCAAAGTTAACAGTGTTTCCTGACTTAGTCATCATGTACAAATAGCTGAGGACACGTTTTTGACAGGGTTTTCCATTGGATAGCAGGCTATTAATTCATGGCCCACAAACAGTTCTGGTCCTGGAATATTTCAGCTTCATCATCTGCACATGTTTCAGAAAAGAAATGCACACGATTCCCTACATAAACACAACAGAGACCTGTAATATCACTTCTTGTGACTTCTTATACATGATTTATTTTCTCAGCATGCCCTAGGCAATGTATCTTTTGAGTGAGAGACATGCTGACTGCTGGACTTAATTATCTTGGAGGTCCAGTCCAACTTTAATGATTCTCTGAGAGGGCACGGTGTTGATGGGTTGACACTTGGACTAGATGATCTTAGAGGTCATTTCCAACTTCAGCGATTGTGCTGTGTGGAACGAGACTGTAAAAAGGCACTGTCCTACCCCTTGCACTGCAAGCTTATTTTTTTATTTGCACACACTGCAAGTTAAACAAGCAACATGATTGCTTCATAAACAAAACGTCCTCTTCTTCCACAGACTTAATTGCTAACTGCAATGAACAGTGCACTTCTTATATTTCTTCACATAAAAAATGATATATATATTTATTGTTATGTATCTAAAGGAAAACTACCTATAGATACAATGGAAAAATACATTCAAAATCTTTTTATAAAATCTGACTCAATAGTCTTTTGACTATAATACAAATATGTATGAGAGACAGACAGACACACACAGAAACACACATCCACAACATCTAGTCTTGCCTAAATCCTGAAATGAAAGTCTGTTCTTTGGTGGTAATTAGTGGAGCTGAAAAGGTCTAAAGCACCTGTAGTCCTAGCTTAAAGCCTCCAATCCATCCTCTTTGACCTGATTGTTTTCCAGCGGAAAGGACTCTGCCGCCTTTACTTGGGCTGAATGCTGTACAAAATATTTAAATTGATCTTCTGTCAAACAAAATCAATCTGTCTGAATGGTCAGCAATAAAAAATATTTGTTAACATGGAACAAATCAATTATTAGCCTGTAGGCTGTTTACTGTGATACATCAGTTCAAGGATTTCCTTGTTTCCAGCAATTTTTAATGAAAACATTTTGTCAGATTTCTGCCCAAAACAGCCAAATGAATGTTCTCCTGCAGCACATTCAGCAGTTCATCAGGCAGAGGTTCAGTGAGGAGCAATTCCCCCTCAAAAAGCAAAACACATTCCTCATCAAATACAGCCCCAGCTCCCTACACTCTAACTAAGGGCAAGCAGTAGCTTGACACTGACCTCAAAGTGGAAGATCTGATTCTTTCATTCATCAGACATGGGACAGCCCCAGTGGCAGACCTTCCTTGCCCAGTTGGGATTGGTCATAACCAGTCAGCCAGTGTCAGTTAAGAAGCCCTGAGCACACTTCACAAGTTTCCTGGGAGGTTTTCTATCCAGCATGTGAAATGCGGTGTGTCATGGCAGTTAGAATATCTTAATTTAGGTTGGGAACGGAACCAATTTCTATCAGGGGCTACAGATGCACTGATGCAAGAAAACCAGCATGATCCCCAGGAAGATGCCATGCCCTCGTAGCAGGGTGCAAGAGAGTTTTATGTTTAATTCATGAGCACTTGACACCCAACTGCATTTATCTCCAATCAACATTTCAAAAGAACTCCTTTTGTTCTAATAATATAGACGTTGAGTGACAAAAATTAAGCATCTACAAACTCATATGGGGAAAAGTGTCATGATATATTGTAATTATGCAAATAGCTGACTGTGAAAATTAATTCCTGGGTTCACAGGGCCATGGGAGTTCTCCACTCCAACTCAGAGAAGGGTCAACACTGAGCCCAGATCGAGCTGCTCAAGTCTCTGCCCGATCATGTCCTGAAAACCTGCAAGGAGATTGTAAAACTCATCTGCGATACTAGTTCACTGAGAAATGCCAAGTCAGCAGCTGTCCTTTTTTCATTTATGCCTACTACCCACATGTATCCATATCTAGTGATAGCAAGTGGGACATCAAAATGAGTGAGTTTTAGCATCAATGTTTCGGCAAATTTCATAATTACAGCAAAATACCAATGAAAGAAAAATATCATTGAACATATATTTGAAGGACAAAATATGATTCTGTACTTACATATTTCTTCTTGCAAGATAAATACTTTCTGTCTATCTATTTTAGCTTCACGCTACATGAAAGCACAACATTTTAAGATGCAGACATAGTTCTTTGAAGCAGTTATACCAGAGTCTGCTTTTCCAGGAAAAATCTATTATGCATTTACCTAGTTCCCTGCTGGATTTCCATTTGACCCATTGTACCCTGTTTGACAAACTCAACCTGGTGCCGAACTAAACTGATAGAGAGACAGTTTCCACACTGATAACCTTTAAGCTGCAGCATCAAATCAAATCAGTCTTGTAGAAAAAGTCTTCTACATGCTTCCGGATCAATGCAGGACTGCCCATTACTGGAAAGAGCAAAATGCACAGTAGACTCATTATAAAAGGAAAAATAAATGCCTGTAGTGTCAGGTATTGACAAATTCCACAAAGTTACGGGCCCATAATCTTCATTCTCTCTGTTCAAAATAAAGACGTGGTAATCAAAACATGTGCTAGTGAAATTCCCAATGGCAAAACCATACATCCCATCCGTAGTGTCAGAAAATGCTCATAGAGATATTGTGTATCAAAAATATTCAGGTTGCATCTGCATGCTTTTGTTATAAGGAGATGCACACAGAATTTGGTGCAACATCCAAACAAGTTCTGGTTGCTGTACCATCTTCTATTCTCCAGGGAACACAACATTTTTCAACAACATCATGTACTTTGGTTTTAAGCAAGAAACACAAGAACAGGTTTAGAACTGATGCCCATGAGTCTCTATAGATGTCCTGGAAGAAAAAAGTGTCAGAAATCCTTGTCCCAACCAGAAAGTTCATCTGGAGGCATTCCCTCTTCAGGTGGATAGCTGTCAAAGTAGCTGTAATCAGTTGGTCCAGATAACTACGGCATTAAAAACACAAACAGATGGTTATTTCAGAAGTTAATTTTTGAAATGCTCTCTATTCATTAGACATCATTTGTATTGCTACAATGTAGGAATGAAAGGCCAACATGATATGGTTCCTTTCTTTCAGTGGATGAAATTCTCTATTCTTTAAAAGCTAAAGTAACAGCAATTACCTTGTACAACAGCGTAAGGCCATTAGCCTCCTGATACAAAAACACTCTCCAAATCCTACAAAATCCTAGATATCACCCAAAGCTCCCTAAAGTTAATAAGACTGGGCCCACACTAGGTACATCTTTGATTCAAATTTGTTTAAGATTGCATCTATGCTCATGAGGAAACTTCTCATAGTAGATCCCAGAATTATTAAGTTTAGCCCAAAGTGAGTTTCAGAGTGTCTACACTCAATCTATTTTCATATCACATCAAAGATAAATGGGCCATTTAAAGCAGGAATCTTATTCAATGATGTGCTGTAATAGCATAAAATACACAAGTTTGTATTGCGCACGGTGATGTGAACAGTGCATCTTAATAATGCGCCCATCTCAGAAAGTACATTTTTTCACTGTTCATCAATGAATCATCACCGTTTATGCTAATAATGATAAAAAACTAATGTAAAATACACAGGCAGAATAGCATTTCATTTATCTAACTGAATTTAAGTTACGTGTTGCCTGGATGTATCCTTTCTTCCTTCAATTTTCAGTGAACTGGAGAGCTATAATAACGCATGTCCATCTCTAGGAAATTTTGCACTTGTCCTCTGTTGTTTCTTTGCAGAGAAATGCTTCACAATTATGTTAGTAAAGCCTTATGAAACTGAAAACCAAAGGCAATACCTCTCTTTTTAAAGGTGATGCTAATTTCCTCAATTTCAGACCATCCCAGTTAAAACCATTCAACCACCTGATTAAAAAGAAATGGGAGATGATAGACAGACAGACCGAGAAAAAAAAAAAAAAAAAAAAAAGCCTGTTAGCTTCTGTTAGAAGCATGATATTGTTAAAAACTTAAAACACATGCAAGCAAGGGTTCTAAACCACTTTACATGACAACTGCCCACGTGACCACAAGGTTGTGAGAAGGAGGAAACTTGAGGACTGTCATAAGTACAGCCATGCAAAGATGTGCATGCCCTGAGGAATTCAGCCTCCTTTTAAGGACGTGACAAAATGGACACGTAGAAGAGTCAAAGCACTTCTTTTCTCAGGCACAAACTGCAGGGCTTAGAAATCACTCAGCTGAAAAGAAAAAGAAGGAAATGTCTAATCCACTGTGGACTTTCTTCATTAAAAGGAAGAGGATATAAAGCTAACACCCTTAACTCCTGCTCTTAAAGAGCAACTGTTTGGTTTTAGATCAAAGAGTCAGGAGGTCTAAAAGGGCAGACATGAATTCTACTGGCATTGACTTCTCATTAATTAACCTAATCCAACTTTGATGTCACTAACCTGTGACAAACAAACAAACAAAACAGTAACCAGGCTGTTTCTAGCTGATTTTTTGTTTATAATGTTGCCTGCTGCACTAGCAAATATGCATAGAGATATCTCTTTTGCAAACTCCCTGGAAGTGCCTGAAGCCTTGCAAGGTCCTGAACTGAGCTCTAAAATATTAAATGTATTTTCAAATTGAGAAAGAATTTTTCTTCTTGGCAGCCTCTTTCAGTTACCTGTGCTTCTTAATGTCATTAATCCCATTCCTCAGATTGCCTAATCTTTCTGTCGGGTTCTGCCTTAAAAAAAAAAAAGAAAAAAAGAAGCATAAGGGTTGAAAAAACATTCTTATTTTTGGGTAAGAGCTTTTATATGTCCTAACTGCTTGCACCAAACAGTTCTGCAGGGAAGAAGCTTGCATACAAAATGTAGTTACATCGAGAGACATAAAGAAATGTTGCTCCCTGCTCCTTTCTTCTGAGTATGGTAAAATGTTCCAGGAAACCACGACCACGTCACAGTACTGTGGGGAGTAGCTAAATGAAGTTGAAAGGAACTTAGCAGTCTGATCTTTATCTTAAATAGTTGAACCTGTCTATACCCAGGCTCTGTCACAAAGCATCACTCCTACCTGCAGAGTCTGCGGATCAAATCCTCAGGCCGCCTTGTTATTGTTCTAGGAAAATCCAGTTTTTCAATGCCTTTTAGAATCAAATTATATGTTGTCATCTGATCAGCCCCAGAGAATGGTGGGCTGGAAAAAGAAAGAACATTGTTGTATGGAATGGCTCAGAGCAAATATTTGAGAATACGGAAAAGAAAACAACCATTTTTCTGCTTTGACAGCCTGCGTTTCAGCCTGTTTGAAATGCCAGAAAGGTGTGAAACTGAGAAACTGCCTGTAGGAATCAGGGGTACTGCATGATCACGTGTGCATAAGAGACAAGAAGACATATCATTTTGCAAGTCATTCCTATTTACTCTGGGAAGAACAACAAGGTGTTTATTTTAAAAACAACCTTCTTAAAAAGAAAATGAACAGAGTAAAAACTTGGAGTAGGGGGCGCTTACCTGCCAGTAAGGAGTTCATACACAAGAATCCCAAGGGACCAAAAATCCACACTGAAGTCATGGCCCTTACTCAGAATGACTTCTGGAGCAACATACTCAGGGGTTCCACAGAACGTCCAGGTTTTCTGCCCTGATCCGATCTTTTTTGCAAATCCAAAATCAACCTGATCAAAACCAATAGATGCTGCATAACGAAGAGGTTACTAGGAAGCTTTAGGGTTTTCATTGCTTCCACACCTCCTGCAGAGATCTCACAGTCAGCAGTTTATAGCTAAACAATTACTGTGTTATTGTGAAGGAGAAAGAAGTAGTTCTACTGGATAACTGAATGCTATAGGATAATCCCATTTATTCTCCTGAGTAATTTCCCAAATGATTTTCCTTCTGGGTAGAACAACCCACGCTTTTCTTGAGAACACCAGATTTACAACCCACGGGAAAGGGTGGGTTGCTTGTAATCTTCTAAACAGATGTCTGAAGCTCTCTAAAGAGCACTGTACTTCTACTTTTAATGTCAGTCCGATCAGGTAGGAGCTGTTCGTTGTGTTCCCTCTCGACTGAAATAATGTGACTGCTTGAGGCTGAACCTGGGAAATGTGGATTCTGCCTTTACATTAACAGCACAGAAATACAACAAGAACAAGATAACACTGCATCTTACCAATTTTATATATCCTTCAGCGTCCAAAATTAAGTTTTCTGGCTTCAAGTCTCTATAGACAATTTCTATGTGATGTAGATAGTCCAAAGCCTCTGTCACACATCCAACACAGAACTTTGTAGTGGGTTCATCAAAGCTGCCTCTGAAAGAAAATCATTATCCATGCAGACAAAATTAACTTCTAAAAATACCTCACTCATTAACCAGATAACACGTAACACCCAGAATGCTAACAACTTCTTTTTCATTAGCATTCAGAATGTCACTTGTGGTTGAAAATGTATCTTTTCATGGGACAGTCTTTGAATCATTGGATCTTGTATGTCACATATCCTGTTTTGAATATTTCCATTGATACGTCATCTCCCACTGCAAATAAAAATGTCTAGACAGGCTTCAAATACATAATAATATCAACTGACAGCGAAATGTAGCCACTGAATAATAACAGAGCCAAATGACAACACAGTTCAAAAGAAAAAATTGAGAACGAAGAAAAAAAGCCACGTGGTATTACAGAGCAAAACCTCTCTCTAACAATTTTGCCTTAAATGTTAAACATTTAATTAATTAACATTTAACTTAATTAATTAACATTTAAATGTTAAACAAAAGGAAACAAGATCACTTGTGTTTCCTCCCTGAAGGACTGCACTTCCAAGTGCAACATGAATCACGCATTGCGTTAGGACAATAGTATTGTTATACAGAAGTACCTTCAACAAAGTTATGATTGTATTTCTTGCCTGACTTGGTTGTCCCATGCTGACATTGGATTTTATATCTCTGTATATGAATAAAAAGCCAGGAGAGACAATCTCTCCTAACTTCCTTGCAGCATCTGCATTTGCATGCTTGTATAAATGAATTACTCCAGGTCATATATTTTTGATGATTTTTCCAAAACTGCTCTGCTGCTAGTTACCCGATAATGCAGTGTCTTATTTCAGAACAAACTTCACTCAGTCCCTTCCCCATATTCCACACATCCCTCTCTATTTATATATAAAGCTACCCTTATTTGTGTATGAAGCTTACCGGTCTCTCAGCAAGCTCCACAACTCCCCGCCAAGGCAAGCCTCCAGCAGCATGTACACATACTTACTATCCTTAAATGTGCGATACAGTCTGTGGAGGCAAACAGCAGCTATTTAGGATGTGCCAAATAAAATGCAAGATCCACAACGCCTTTTCTCCAGCACTCATTTATCCCCAAAACTTCATTCTTAATGCTGACCAGTGGGTCGGATTTAAGGAAATCTTATAGTCAACTTACTTCACAATGAAAGGAGAACATATCTGCTCAAGGATTTTCTTTTCAGAGTATATATGCTCTTGTTGTTTGGTGTCCACTACATGTTTCTTCTTTATACACTTCATAGCAAAAGCCACGTTCTCATTTTTTACCTTAACCTGTGAATAAAAATAATGAGTACATACGAGATAAAGAAAAAAAGATTTGCCCATCTGTTCTCAATAGATAAGCCTGTCTCTTTCAACACAGTACAGTATTGAAACTGATGACTGTAGCAAAGGGGAGATTTCAGATTTTCTGCACAGTTACTCTATTTGAAAAATGAAACGTTCTCTTCACCCATTTTACATACACCAAACAGCATCGGTTTGAATAGATTATGTATCCTGCAACTACTTTACCCCAATGAGCCCTAATTTCAATTTAAAATCACTGAACACCAGTACAACACAAATTAACAAAACACAGAGTCTGTTTGTGAAGAATGTTTAAAAGTGAT